GAGCCTGGTTGGTTGTTTTGGTTTGTTATTATTGTAAACGAATTCAGATAAAAATATCCAGGAAGATTCAAGTCTCTAGTATTGTGGGAAACCAAGAATTAGAGTTCAGAGAATAGCAGGGCAGACCTGGGGTTCCCTGGAACTTCTTTCCTATGGGCATGCCCTACCCGTCGGGGGCCTAAAGTCCAGAAAAGGAGTTGAGGGATACTGTTCACATTGTTAGATCAAACTTAAGCAGATCTAATTTGGATCCCATGTGCACTTTTAATTGGGTTCCTGTGGAAAACATCCACTGTCTCCATCTCTTGTGGTTCTAAATCATTTCGCGATTCTCCTCCTAATAATCTATCCATCTCTAGATTTCACTCACAAGGGTGCAACAATAACAATAAGTTAGGAGAAAAGAGAAAATGACAATCGTTACGGGGGTGGGGGAATGGCCCTACGCTCGTGAGTGATACAGAGTAAAAGATGCATCTTTATTCATGGCCACAACTGACAAGCTGACACCTGACGTGTTGCCTTTCTCCTGCTGGCTTTGTGACAAAGCCGTTTCTTTCCAGGTGTGCTCTGCCGTTGGAATAAATCTAGGGGCACTGGATTTTCTTTTTCTTTTTCTTCTTCAGTTTGATCTTCCTCTTCCGATATAGTTTGGGCTGAAGAAATGATGCTGCTAAAATGCAGCTCTTATTATAGCCTCAGATTAGGTTACAAGGTTTCACTAATTACCACCTGAGGTGGCAACTTCTTTCTCCGCTCTGTCCAGCCCTAGAGACTGAACTTATTATGAGACATTCATTCATTTCTCAACAAATGGATAGGGACAGTCACTGTAATGCAAGGTCTGTGTTAAGTCCCGGGATTTGGCGGGAAGCAACACAGAGTCCCTGCCCCTACAGAGATTAGATAGCCCAAAGCAGAAGCTAAATCATGTCCACACAGGTGTTTCATTTCTCCTGCATGGAATTTTCTTTTATACTTCCATTCACTAAAAGGTGGGAGAGTTCTCATAAAAATTGGAACTTTCAGCTTTTCATGAAAGTTTCCAGGGTTAGGTATCCATTGAGGCTGCATTTCTCCATATCTGCAACAGGTTGAATGAGACTGTTTATAAAAATGATTTTATTGGGGACTCATACAATTCTTATCACAATCCATACATACATCCATTGTGTCAAGCACATATGTACATTTGTTGCCCTCATCATTCTCAAAACAT